TTTTTATTACAAATTAATTTTTAAATTTATAATTTGTTTCAATATTTTAGTATATTATTTTTTTCCCCAATGTGCAAATTTTCCAAATACGGTGTATTACTATTATTCAAATAATATTTGCCCATTAAATGTATATAGTTTATAAACGTGGAAAGTAGACATTTTAAAGGCTATTTCCATTTTACCCAAACGTTCCGTTACGGTAATTTTGACCATAAAAAGACTGGTAATAGATTTCGCAGTTCTTACAATCCCAAGAATACGCCCGCACAGCACAAACATACGACGTAACAAGGCCGAGACACGCATACCCCCCCCCCCCCCCAGCGTTACAACACCAGGATTCTTCTTCCTCCGCTCATCTCCGATTCAATTCTCTCGTCTCGCTCGTTTCACCATCTGGTATCAAAACCCTAAATTAGCTTCTCCTTCACTCTAAACCCTGTCCAGGTAATTACTATCCCCTTCCCCCGCCCCCAGATCTGAGCTCCACGCTTGTTAACGCAGAGATCCGTGCATTTCTCGGATCCTAGGTAATCTTATTTTATTCTTGATTGGCCGTCTTTTGAATATGGAACTCTCTTTGGTTTGATCCGATCTTATTGTTTCGGAACGATCAAGGTTTTCGGGCCCCTTTCTTTTGTGTTTGGCACGTGATTTCTTTTTTTTTTTGTGTAGTTCGTAATTGTGGATTTGTTGATAATTTAGCTTGTTTCTGTTTCTCTTCGTGTAGATTTGGATCGTGTTGTTATTCTAGTTGGCGGCCGTGGTAAATTGGAGGATTGAAGAGTATGGCAGCTCCTGTGCCTCCAGGGGCGCCTAGACCAGGAACCAGTATGCAACAAACGCCACCACCACCTAATTATAACCCAAATTTTCAAGGAAATCCGAGTTTCTTAGCCGATAATGTGCAAAATTTGAATCTTAATCGCGCTCCTCCGGTATCCAATCCCGGTCCTAGGCCTGTCCCATTCCGTCAACCACCGCCTTTTCCTCACTCCGCTCCTTCCCCTGGTTTTCCTTCTGCTTCGCCAGTGTCTCGGGCTCCCCCGCCTCCTGGTGCGGTTCCAAGAGGTGCATTTCCTCCTTCAGGACCCCTACCATCCATGTTGTCCTCAAATTCAGGCCCGGGAAGACCCACTGGTCCGCCTTTCAGTCAGCCACCCGCTTTTGGTTCTAGGCCGTTTACTGGGTCTCCGCCCTCTTCGGTTGGGCCTCAGGTTGTGTCTCCTCCTGCAACATCTTCTGGTCCTTTCCCATCTTCGAGTTTGCAAGCTGGTGTAGTCGCTCCTCCTCCAGGTGCTCGCCCTAGTACGTTTGGCTCATCTTTGCCGGTGGCTGGCAGTTCTCTGGTGCTCACTTCAAACACGCCTGGTGCTCCAATCAGTAATGGACCATCAGTGTTTGGTTCGGGGGCTGTTTTAGGTGGACCTCGGTTTCCTCCTTCTGGTGGTGCTCCCCAACCACCTGTTGTATCACCTCCAGTACTGGCCTCAGCTCGGCCTCCTCCTCAGGCTGCGAGCGCGCACTCTATTCTAGGAACTTCGTCGGTTACTACACCGCCTGGCCCTCCCATGCAACAACCACCAATGTTTCCTGGTGCACCTCAGGGAAGACCGTTGGTTCCAGGTTCTCCTTATGGAGCGCAGTGGTCAGTGCAACCACAGCAGGTACATTCAGGAAATTTTTAATACTTATTGTCTAGTGGCTATAAATTTATGATATTTATCTGATTCTACTAAATTTCTTTTGAATGTCTGAATCTGCTAGTAGAATGTGGCATTATAAATTACATATATGGATTAGGTACTCTGAACTTTCTTCCAATTTTAGAAGAAAATAACAACTGAATCTTTATTCCTAATTGCATAAGCTGCCCATAAAGCAAAAGTGCTTTGGAGAGAGGATAGCTGACACTTTTTTGAGATAAAAAGAAAACATCATCTGAAATTAGAAACTAGAAATGGGAAGCACAAAAAAGAAGAGGATGGACTATGGAGGTGTGAGAAAATTTGGCTTTATCAAGGATGGAAATGGAACATTCGGGATATAATTTTTGTTATAGAAAAGCCAGAGTTGCAAAAAATGTCATTTAACTTTGGTCTTTCTGAGATATTCAAAAATGTTATATACTAGGTTCCTAGATACAACACACAAATATCTTAACAAAATATCCCTACGGGATTGCTCTATCCTGCAAAGAAGTTTCTAGCAACATATCTAAGAAGTCAGTGTAGCCAAATTGAGCATTCTATGCATGATGATTAATTATGTGAGAAAATAAAGATCAACTTTGATGTTAATAGAGATCCATATTTCTTATTGAAACTTACTTTTTGTTATTAACTATTAATTAAAAGTGTAGAAGGATGAGCCGTGTTGTTTGCAAAAATTTCTCAATTGGTATGCTTTTAGCTACTGGGATTGCAAAGGGGTGTCACTTTGAGTAAAGAGATTTCTGAATAATATCTAAGTTCTTGCGTTAACTGAGTTGGACATGAATAATGTAATTTGCAATAGTAGTGTTTGCATCAGTAGTGCTTGAGAAGTATAGTGTCCCTAGTTTTCTCTATCTACGTATGGTGGCCCTTCATAGGATAAGAAACTTGTATTCCAGAGGCAGTGGGGTGATTTTACAAAGTTGCAAAAGCGAAGTACGAGACTGGACTTTAGTTAACTATACACAAGCCTAGTATGGATAACCATATATTTCTCTTAAACAAAAGAGGTTTCTACTGTTAATTACCATTTATCAAAGAGTTGAAAATGCTATTAATATTTGCATAGACCAACTACACCTATGATTCTGGGTATTTAGCTACCATTCGGTTAATCTTCCTGAAGATGTATGGTCCAAGACCATCATTTCTATAGACTTGGTATCTTTTTGCCAAGGTAATCTTGATTAATATCCCATTGTCTTTTAAAATTGTAAATAGATAAATTCCTCTTCTAGAAGCTTCCCATGAAGTCATTACTGATTTTTGGGAGTATCTTTCTTCCAATTGGCTTTTTAAAAGAGAAGCGTGGGTGTCCCTCATTTGGCTTCATCAAGTGAAGAATTTTTTGTTTTGTTGACAGGAGCATCAGTTCAAGAGTTTTAAAAATGGATTTCAAATTAAGCACCCTTCTCAAAAAAAAAAAAAATTAAGAAGAGACCCTTTCTGGCATTGAGATTTCATGCTGTCAAACTTCTCAAAGAAGAGACCAGCCACTTGAACCTTCCAGTTCAGTGCTGTTATTAGGATAATGATGTGAATTGTTTATTGATTTTGCTCTTCATTCTAAACAATTATCTTCTTGAGAAAAAGTCCAGGACTAATAAAACTGCACTGAATGCATTGAAACTTGTGTTACCTATGTTTCTTTCTTTCCCCTTTGTAACACTGCTAATCTTAGT